GTTTAAATTTTAAAACAGTTTGTCGCTATTATGAAAAGACATGTTGCTATTGTGAAACTAATATGGTACTATATTTATATTTTCATGAAATTAAAGTCTTATATATATTTTTTTATTATTTAATTATGCAAATCCGTGGTCCTAAACCGATCCAATTCGTGTTTAAATGGATTGGTTCAGATTGGTTTCATGATTTAAATGGATTGGATTGGTTCCAATTTTTCAGGATCCGTAGATAACGGATTGGTCCTGGTTTTACTCCAATCCGGTCCAATCCGGACCATGCTCACCCCTACTTTCAAAATGAGCTCGTAGGTCTCATATAGACATCTTGTCTCACTTCCTAATGCAGTGCGCATTATCCCCATTGTCTTGGGGTAAGGACATTTTGTTCCGTTATTCCCTTACACGAATATACTTGTCAGAAACAACACTAACTTGGGCAAGTCACTGTTTGTCCCCCACCAATTGCTAGGGCACAGCTAACACCCAACCCAGCATCCATTGGCCGAGCTATCGATAGCTCGGTTAAGCCTATGATCTTTGCCCATGAGTCCAGCGCTAGGCTGCCACTCGGCTCAAGGATCACATTATGCTCAGGCCTACTCAGCACGGTTGGCTTAGCTTGATTCACATTAAGAACACCTCGGCTAGTCAGAGGGAGCTTGGTCAGCTTTGTAAGCCATTCCCAAGCCCACCTTTGGTGTGGCCTAGCTAACCCACAAAGCGGTGGGCTGAGCTCGGCCCATAGTATCTCGGCCTCTTTAGCACAACACAAAACTTAGCTCTCAATTGCCCCTTAAGCTAGTCTGCTCCAGAATGAGCCAGATTACCATCACCGGCCAAGCTTGGCTTCATGCCCAGTTCACTGATCTGTATGGCACAAATCGGACGCTTTACAGAGCATGGTGCAAGTTTGACACTTCAAAGAGCACGGTGCAAACCTAACTCTTCAAAGAGCACAGTGCCCCCACTACACTGACGCAACGTCTTCTCAGGGGACACGCATTGTCTTGTTATGATGATGGGCGCGATTTCCCAAAAAAATTCAAATCTTCGTGCCCCTTTGAGTGCCATATACACACATCGCCATTCCTCCTCATTCTCCACTGTTCATCATCTCTGAATTTAGTACCACTCGAAAATATTACACTTTGGTTGATGATAATAGCACACCAAATATATGCTTATCATTAAAAAACATGCTTTATTTACTAAAATTCTTGACTAATTTTATAGATTGTCAATCATGTTATTTATATAGTTTATAGAATTGTATATTCACCTTGGGTTCTTAATATATGTTTTTAGGGTTAATAATGACAACTAGCCTATGGCACTTAAGTTTTAGAAAAGTCTTGACATTAGAGACTTAATTCGTTGGGTTTATAGCTAAGTTACGATTTAGCTCATTAATTTAGTATATTGAAGGTGTGGTTTTGCTGCTGTTGTGCTTGATGCCGTCATGTCTGGTTGCTAAGGTTCCATAGCGTGCATTTTTTACTTCCACTATGGAAATGTAATAGGAGATCTGTCATTATTGTCTGCCACATCAATGATGTATGGAAATGTAATGGGAGATCTCTCAGTCTAAGGGTGTATATTTGCATTTACAATTAATATAAACAGTTGTTAAAATGTCGTCTAGCCAATGATACAGAGTATAAGAAACTTAAAGAATAGTAAATTCAAAGAAGTGGCGATATTCGGAAATTCAGCTTTAAAGTTGTCACAGCGCTGTCCTACATCAGCCATGTTTTGGAATGGTGCAAGTACGTTAACCATAAACTAGGGTGGTTAAACAAGATAGTAGTGAATGAACTTTCCATTTATAATGTTTTGAGACATTTTTGGGTTTTTAGAGGAAAAATCCGTTTTGCCCAAACCCAAACTAATAATTGACGAAAAAATTATTTCTAAAGCACAAAATACTTCCATGTTTAGATTACAATGATTATTGTTTTATTTTATTTTTCCTTTTTGTTCTTTACATTTTTGGATCTATAAAAATACACTGGAATTCCTATGGAAACTTCTACACTAAATAAAATGTTTTTGACACTTTCTAGTGGCTTTTCAATCAATTGAAAACTAGGACATCTAGAAAAGAATCAATTATGAAAATGTACAAAAGTAATCGATTTTAGTGGTCTGATCCCATTTTTTATTATTTATCCTTTCTTTACTTACCTTATACGGTGATCAGTTGTTCTAATTTATGTTATTGTTGCCTGTTAGATCATTCATATTCTAGAGGAAGGGTGGTCAGAGCAAGAGAGCAATAGAGCAACAGAGCTGCAGAGCAAGTTGTTGTAAAATCTGCCTTAGTCTTCTGGTGAAAGTAAATTGTGTACGGGAGCTATTTTTTTAGATTTAATTCCATTATGCATTCTTTAACTTAAGCTTCTAGCAAAGCTTAATTACTTCAAAGAGTTACTGTCAAGATTTTGTGCTTTTTGTACTTTTCAGGAGCCACCTTCACTGACATTAAAAGAATTTTTAAATTCTTTCAAAGGGGATGAGAACAAGGAAGTACAAGGTGGTTTCGATGCCTATTGGAGTGACAGCCAAGGTGATAGTAGTGACAATCCAAAAGATTCCTTGTATTTAGACAAGGCCTCTATTGAGATTATGAAAATACTTGTTTCAAAAAGTCAAGTCGTAATGCCTAGGGAAAATTGGAATTCCACGTCAAAGCTTATCAAGGTCAATAACTATGTGATCCTTGAGAACTTGGCATCCATCTTAGGAAGCTTGTTTGGGAAATATGGGGACTTCTGTGGCATGTCCAATTTGAGTCCAAAGGCAAAGATGTTATACATAATGACAGTCTGTGATGCTGTAAACAACATGTGGAGTACCAAGGTCAAGGACATTACTACAAGTCTATTATTGAGTTGGTTTCACTGGTCCATGCTTGGCCACTATGCTGGCTTTGAAATTCAATTTGCTTTTGGTCGTTTGACGAGAGTGGTGCGTTCTCACTTTGGTCTCCAAGTTGATGTTTCTACAGACCTCACCTTTGCCAAATTGGATAAAGAGATTGGAGAGCAACATGCACTGTTAGATTCTAAAGAGATCATTGCTTCCGAACAAGATAGGGAGATTGATAAGCTCCGGGAGAGGATAGCTTCTATGCAGCTCACTAGCACCAAAGTACATAAAGAGATTGCAGAACTTCATAAGAAGATAAAGACACTAGAGGAGAAGCGTGCAATATCTAGGTTCACAGAGGAGTGCCTCAGTGATGCTCTGGAGCTAGAGGGACAGACAGCAGGTATGGGCCTGTAGTGATGTGCAGTGAAGGGTCTACTAACAGTTAGCTTGTTGCTATGTTACTACAAACATGTTGGTATCAATTCATTACAAGCACATCAATATGTCTATGTAGGCAGCATCTTGTGCTCACTGCAAGAAAATCGAGAATTAGCGGCGTATATAAAACGCCGCTATAGGTTAGAAAAACGCCGCAAAAAGATAAAACGACGTTTATAAAATTCGTCGATGATGCGGCCGTCGTTGTATCTTTGTGGCGATTTAAAAACGCCACTAAAGACTTTAGACGACGTTTTCTAAAATGCCACAAATTCTTTACAACAGTTAACTATACACGTTAAAAGAGTTATCTCTGACGTCATAATGACGACATTTCGCGACGTTTTTAAAAAAACGCCACCATTTCTTTCATCTTTTTGAAAAAAAAAATGAAAAATCATGATTAATGATCTTTTGACTTTTGTTCAAACCAAACCTATATCATCCATCATCATCCATCACCATTCTCAAAATATATTGAAATAGTACCCCAAAAAAAAAAAAAAATTAATAATAACAATAATTGAGCTGCAGTCGTTACAAATCCGAAAGCAATCTAAATTTAAAAAGTCACATACAGTGTTCCTCACACTCGAAAGACATTGGTTGTCCTCTATAGTTGAGAAATTAGCCCACACCGTTAACAATTATACAAGCCCCTTCCCAACAAGTTACATGGGGAAAAAAATCACTTTTGAAAGGTCAAAAAAAAAAAGTTGGTGACCATGTACAAACCTTAGAGAAAGCTGCCATCAGTCCAGTTGGAATCGGATTTTCCATTGTGCCCAACAGTTTTCTTATCAGATGATGCACTCTGGTAGAAATGATCAAATCCGTCATCTTTACCATCGGATTTTCCATTGTGCCCAACAGTTTTCTTATCAGTTACTGGACGCTGCACCCTTTGTGGAGGATTCTTCTTTCCTATTGTCTTTTTGGTCCCAATCATCCCAAGACCCTGAGCTGACAGAATTATTATGAGCAGCACCAGATGAGGACTTCCCTCCTCCGGAACTCCATCCTTTTGACTCTTGTGCAAACTCTTGATAATAGCCATTTCCCTCGCTTTCGTTTCGTTGCCAGTTGTCTGCCTTCCAGCTGGTGCCAGTGCCCGTGCTGTCTTCCTTAGTGTACTCCTCCACCTTTTGTGAGGCCAATGCCATGACCCCTCTCATGATCCCCCATGTCTTCTGTCCGATCTCTGTTGTTTTTGTGGTGACAACATTGACTGTTTCATTGACCTTGGTATCATACCCTCCCTCTCTCACCTGTCAGAAATGATTTACACATTGACCTTAGCTTCAATATTTCACCCCTTTTTTGGCATTCTTGAAATACTTAATAACCACACAGCAGCACACATTGACCTTAGCTTCAATATTTCACCCCTTTGTCAAGATTTAAGCCGCGTTCTTCAGTGATAACCTGGAAACAAACACAGTGAATCCAATAAACCAAGCATGCAAAATATAAAAACCTAGGATTTAGATGTTTGATTTACCTCTCCACCAGTGAGAATAGCAAGGTCATCTCAATTAGCCCTTCTGTTTTCCCCAAAACCAGGTGCTTTAATGGCACAAACCTAAGGAATGTGGAGGACAGATTTAAAGTCCATGAGTAAAATTGTGGCTGTTGACAACAAACATGCATTATAAGTAACAAAGTTCAACCATTGGGTTTCATACATCAAAAATTTGGTTCTATTGGAGCAATATGCCAAGAAAGCAAAGGCAATCCATTACCTTAACCCTAGCACGATGCTTGTTTATAATGAGCATAGCCAGTGCATCACTCTCTACATCCTCAGCAACCACAAGCAGGGGTTGATGTTTCTGTTGAACAAGCGAAGAGAGAGAGAAAACAAAAAAAGAATTATTGATTATAAGTTCCTCAACAACCTCAAGACTTTGCCAATATCCACTACCCCACGTGGAGGACCCCACCAAAAAAGGTTGATTACCTTCACAGCCAGCTCCAATATTCTGACAAGTGAGTTCATGTCTGAAATTTTCTTGTCATGGATAAGGATGAGGGGATTTTCCAGTTCCTACGAACATGCAAATTGCAATTGATATCATGAAATTGGAACAGATAGGGTCATATAAATAACAAGACTCGGATCAACGAAACAGGGATAGTGCATGAAATGACTCTGGCCAATTATAGTTTGGTTCTCCCAAAAGTGATTATGATCAAAAGTAGGAAATGAGATAGACTATCTACCTTTTAGCTGTTTTTTTTCTGTAAGGGAATGTTTATGATAATTGATCAGCAGATGCTTCAAAGTAAAAAAAAAACTCATTTTACTAGGGAATGGTAGTATTACACTTTTGGGAAATTAAAATATAAATCATCAGCAACCAGATCATTGAAGAGCTATACATACACATTTCTGGGTCTTCTGATCAGTAACAAAATAAGGAGATATATAACCCCTTCCTAGCTTCATCCCTTCCACCACATCCAATTCATCCTCCAAAGTATTTCCATCCTGCATAATTTTGCAAGTCAGAATGCAAGTAAACTTTAAACAGAATTAATTAACCGTTATCTATCACATGATAAGATGTTAGAGTACTCACAGCAACAGTAATAACTCCTTCCTTCCCAACTTTCTCCATTGCCTGTGCTATCAGTTCCCCAATTTCAGTGTCACCGTTGGCAGAAATTGTGGCCACCTAACTCACATGTATGATGACGGAACAACAGAAATTGTGGCCACCTAAAGAGCAGAAAGTGAGGGGAAATGTTTCTTTGAATAGAAGAGCATGACAGATGCAGACAGTATGAATTTTGGCTTGAAAGAATGAATTAATTACCTAAGTACGACATATCTAGGATAACAATGATAGTATTAGAGCATTAATAGCATAATTAACCAACCTTTCTTAAATAAAACTCCAAAAAGAGTTAACATTAACAAACATCAACAACACACTTTAATTGAAACGCTAAAAAAGAGGATGTGTAAGAATTTCACCATCATTCAAAGTTCTAAAAACAGGAGTTGGTAAAAAGTTTAAAAAGCAAAAGGATTAGTGAAAGCCCAAAAAGATGAGAATTTCTCTTACAAATACCAAATTTCCAAAAAATAAAAAATCAAATATACAAAAAAATCCCAACCTTCCAAAAACCTAAATCCAACGCATCTTCCCAGATCATAAACTTATCTAAAATACCATGAAATCAAACCTGAACATAATTAAAATAAAAATAAATAGAAAAAAAAAACAAAAAAACAACTATCAGCTGAATTAAGAGCTAAAGAAAACAGATTGAAGACCCAGAAGCAAGAACAACCCATTTCACCAAAAACAAAAACTAAAACAAGAATCAATCAAAATGAAATCAAAGAACATCCAGAGTTTCGAAATCAAATCAGTGAGATTCAAATACCTTAAAGGTGAGAGCTTTGTTTCAATGATTCGAATTCCTCAGGTGTTTGTCTGGAGATGGAGAGAGCTCTTCAGCGGAATTCTTTAGATTTTCAGTTTGGCAAGTGCCGTCCATGGGAGTTGGTTTTTATAGTGACGACTATGTAACATGACACAATCCAACAAATACAAACATGATAAAAGTTTATTTTACAGTAAGAGTTCCATCATCATTTTTATTTTTTTGGTGTTTGGCTAAAAATTAAAAGGTAAAATAACAATAACAAAAGTTTTTCATTGACACATTTTATCAAACATTTAACATGCAAGGAAAATGGTACAAATAAGAATCGTAATATCAACAAGTTATTCCAACAAAAAAAATTCATAAAAAAATTTATGTCAGTAGGATAAGAATCAATCAACGAACTACTCATCAGGAAATACTACCCTCAACTACAAATCGGTCATCATCAATAAACTAGTCACCAGCACCAATTTTAGAAACTGTTTTGACATTTTCTATAAGGAAAATGTGATAGAGTGACAAAGATAATGAGATTCAATCAAAAACTAGAGAGAAAGGTCCAAATCTCATAGAGCAATTTAGAGAATACATGAAATTCGATCGGAGAGATTGAGAGAGTAGATTTGATATTACCATACTAGCAGATCGGAGAGATAGAGAGAGCAGATCTGATCGGATAGAGAACAGATCTGAGAATAAGATCTACATCTCTACATCGTTGAGCTTGCTTCTACTCATTGTTGCTAACGATCCAGATCCAACGCTGCTAGCTTATCCTGTGCGTGATCAGAGACATTAATATGGCACTCATAACCCTAGATAAATCGATTTCGAAAGAGAAAATACAAAACAGAAGAAAAGAAAGTAGAAATCAACTATAAATCGTTAGTTTCAGCCATGAAAGTTTACAGATCTTATGTGAATGTAGCAAATCCATATCAGAAAACTCTAACCTTGAGCCCTAGATCGACTTAGATAAGAGGGATTCAAACGATATTACAGAGATACACTCAAATCAAGTACAGAACAAGAATGTCCAGATCATACAACCAAAGAATCCATGGAGATCGAAGATCCAAGGCCCTGATTTCTCTCTTTCCCCCCCTCTCTCTCTCTCTCTCTCACACACACACAAAAGTCACGCCTGTGCTCTTTTCTTTTGATCAGAAACCTGCCTTTTCAATCCCAAATAAACGTTATTTCACAGCTTTCTATTAACGGCGCACAAAACGAGATAAAATAATTAAATTGGCTGAGAAGGTGAAAAATCAAAAAAAAATTAACAACGTTTTTAAAAAACGCCAGGAAAAAAAATGTGGCAATACCCTATTTTTCTTGTAGTGGCTCTTTGGCTCTTGGTGTGGATTTGGATCACATTATGTTTGATAGGTACTACCAAAATTTTACCATGTAGACTGTTCTTCCTTTTTTTATTTCTATTATTTGTCCTGTTTTGCATTAACAAAATATAGTCTGACCCTTTCTATTTTGTGTATGTTTATGCATTTGAAAAGGCACATGATCAATCAAAAAGGGTTGCAATTCTACGTTAAGTTCTGGGATGTGGGTGGGTACACTACTAGAAAATGCATCTTTCGCTATGAAGTTTTTTGTGATGGTGTAAATGACGTGGTAAAAATGTACTTTTTGAGATGGCAACATTACCGTCTCAAATAATATGTTTATTTGTGACGACAATATCGTATTGTTGCAAATAATGTTTATTTGCATATTATTTGCAACGAAAATATCTTACTGTCAACAGTATCGTTATTATCTCAAATAAGTTTCTTTCTACAAAACTAGGGCTTTTTGGAAATTCTCAAATGAGACTCATGATTTTGCCCTATCTGTTCTCTCATTCACTCTCTGCTTGCAGGTCACAGCTCTGCGCTCGCTCTCTCTCTCTCTCTCTCTCTCTCTCTCTCTCAGGTCGTTCTCCCTCTATCTGACCCTCATTGTGGCCACTACTACCGTGACCTCCAACATTCTGCCGCTCGTGTCCAACTTGTTTTATGTCCGCTGTCTCGACTGCCACCAGAGCTCTAACTTTTTCTTCCTCCGCCATCGTGACTGCCACCACAACATGAAGACTAGAGAGAAACACCCCTAGCTTGTAACGCATAAGCCCTCACCTCTCTCTCTCTCTCTCTCTCAACCCACAAATTCACTTTAATTTTATAATTATTATTATTATGATTATTTAAATTTCAATCCACAAACTCATATCTTTTCTTCAGATTGCTGATTGGGAAATGTTATCCATCAGAATCTATGACTTGCCGATATATATCAATGAAAGTAACAAGTTAGTACAGAGGATATCTTCTACAAAGGTATGTTCTATTTACATCTTTATAATAGTCTGACCATTCCAGGTTTAGAAAGTTTTTGTTTTTCCCTCAGGATAATCTTACATACAATTTTCTTCTCATCTTTGTATATTAAACTGACATTTTATGCTCATCTTGTTGGAATATGTGTGAAGGTAGAGTCTCATATCGGATAAAGAGTAAGAGAGATAAGTCTTAATATATATTAGATGAGCTCTCCACTTATAAGTCTAAGCTTTTAAGTGGGTGAGTTTCAAATAATGTATATTGGGTCTTGATATGAAATTTGTGGACTCTAAAGTTCTGCCCTAATGGATTGGACCGGTATTGCTATGTGCTTGTGGGTTCCCTAATTCCCTAACAACTGGTATCAGAACCGATGGCAAATGATCTATGGGCGAACTCTCCTGAAGCATTGATGTTGGTGGGTTTGGACTTGCACAAAACTCTTAATGGAGTAAGAAAAATCCATGATAACTCTTGATGGAGCAAGAAAAATCCATGATAACTCTTGATGGGGGAAAGAAAATTCCTAATGCATGTGGCAAGGTTGGACCGCGACAAGGTGGCTCTCAATAGAGTATGGTGGCTCACGATGAAGTGTGTGCAGGTGGCCTAAGCTAGGCTCGATGTTGGAGAGTTATAGATTAAGATTAAGGGGGAGTGTGTAGTGATCTACGATGAACTTGCTGATGATAGGTCACGACTCGAGGGGGTGCATGGAGAGGCCCAATGTTTGGTTCACACATGAGGAGGAAATTGTTGGAGCATGTGTGAAGGTAGAGTCCTACATCAGATAAAGAGTAAAAAATATAAGTATTAATATACATTAGATGGGTTTTCCACTTATAAGCTTAAATTTTTAAGTATGTATGAGTTCCAAATAATATATGTTAGGCCTTGATATGACGTTTGTGGACTCTAAATTTATCCTTAATGGATTGGGTCAATATTGCTGTGCGCTTGTGGGTTCCCTAATTCCCTAGGAAATCTTTCCCTTGATATTTTTAATCTTAGGTTCTTATTTCTTAATTTATCTTTGGCATAAATTTCGGAGCTCCACGTTCAGGTTTCTGATGCTGAAATTCTTTTTGGTTTAATAAGGCAAGTTTAGTTATGTCAGGCGGTGCAACAAGATGTTGAAGGGTTCTATAAATCTAAAGGTTTTTCCCTGCCGATGCTTTAAATTTGTACCTTAAGACAATTTATAGAAGTCGAACCCTAATTGCATACTGGAACTTGGTCATGAAGTTTACTTTCCTGGGTTTGAAGGATATTTTTTTATTCCCCTGGTTTGTTATCAAACACATGCTTGGACATAAAAGGATAAAGCGCATTTTGCCCAAGTATGACGCATTTTGCCATCTATGAAGAAGTATGCTGGTTGTTCTACAAGAGAAGAGGATTTTGCTCAAGTTACCGTGGCAGTCCAAGAGGGCCTCCTGATGAGTTTGATCGCAAAGGAGGGAGCTTTAGATGATTACCAACCATCATTTGATGTATGTACTTGATAATGCAGTTCGTCCTGAGTGGATGGGCCGGGCTGGTCCAACCTCCTCAAGTTCCAAATCAGGCAGATGATTCCACCAGATGACCTGCAAGCAAGTCCAAAGGGGAACGGGGTAGTCCCCCAGTGAACTCTCCGGCGTGCGAATCAGTAGAGGAGGAAGGAAATATATATATATACAGAGAGAGAGAGCGAGAGATAGAAACGCTTAACCTTCCTCTTGTCTTCGATTCTTGCTTATATCCTTTGGTAATCATTTCACTGTCCTTTGTGACGTGCCCCGTTCCGCCGAAAGCTTGTGCCGTAGCTTACCTTGTTCAGGGTGAGGGGGCTCTGTTCCGACGGGGAGGTGTTGTCGTAATAAATGCTGTGATGGGATGCATTAATGGTGATGTGTTGTGGCAATAACTCTGCAGATCTTTGTCTACTGATGTGGCCTGTGTTTCATCTGCCATGTGCCCGAATGCCATTGGCCCTCCATGTCCAGATGACCTCCAGCTGTCCTGGGCTTTGCCAACCGGGTTATGCTATGGGTCCCAAGCGATGGGTTTGGGGTTGTTTGCTGTGGGCCGTGAGCCTTGTGGGCCTATCCATGTCAGTAGTCCCCCATTTCCGAGTGCAGCTTTAGCCCAACGAAGGGAATAGTAATAAGGAAGAGAAGCGCGAACCGAGTGGATAGGCCGACCGTTAGGCGTGCCGACCGCAAGGGTGGCCGAGCGGGAGAAGCTGACCGTGAGGGTGGCCGAGCGGGAGGGGTCGACAGTTAGGCGTGCCGACCGCGAGGGTGGCCGAGCGGGAGAATCTGACCATGAGGGTGGCCGAGCGGGAAGGGTCGACCGTGAGGCGTGCCGGCCGCGAGGGTGGCCGAGCGGGAGGGGTCGACCGTTTGGCGTGCCAACCAGGACGTCGCGGGGCTCAAAAAGAGGGGGGGCGGGTGCCATATGATGATGTGAAATGGAAAGAACAGGGTAAGGGAACGGGACAGTGCATCGTGGCCATACACGTGGCAATATCGTGGAGGAAGTGAAACGTTGGAGCAGAAATGAAACGATAGGTCACAAGGGGGGGTTTTGAAAAGGCGATTTTGGCGATTGATTTGAAAGGTTTTGAAACGGGCGAAAATTAATGTGGATCCATGGAATACAGGTAAACCGTGGTTTTGTGGTATGATTCATTTCACCTACCTTTTAACAATAAATCAAAATGCCCAAGTGTTAATTCTGTCATTGCGCACGACACACCTATGCAACATTTTCTCAACTTCCTTGCTCCTGCGTCAGAAGTGATTCGTAAGCGAACCCTAGAAATGGCACAAGAAGAAGCGGTGAATGTGAGGGTGGATCCTCTGGGAGACGATGATGCAGAAGAGTTAGCGGTGCGATACAGGGCGGAGAGACGAGTGGTGGAGGTGGGGGAACCGGTGGGACAATCGCAGGCGTCAGCCCTGATATTGGCCCTAAGGCCAATAAGCCAGGTAGAGCTAGATCAGTGGCACACTAAGGCTGACAAATCCACAATTACTACGGCGGATTTGGAGGCTATCAGGGAAAGATACCAGATTCCGGCAGAGGTGGAGTTATTGCTGCCAACATCAAGGGAAAGGCCGTCTGATGCCAGGCCAGGGGAGTTCTCCCTTTACGAGGAGGCGCTAAAAGGTGGGCTGAGGTTGCCACTGCCCCAAGTGGTGGTTGACGTACTAAACTGTTTGGAGGTAGCGCCGAGGCAATTGATGCCCAATGCATGGAAGATTCTGCTGGCCTATGCGAGCGCGTGGCCCAAGGCGAATGGAGGGGAGGCCATGGCGGTAGACGAGTTCTTTTCCTGTTACAAGGCTTTGGGGCAGCAAGAGACGTGGGTCACCTTACAAGCAGTGATGGGGAGGGGATTGGTGGCGGGACTGCCGACATCGATCAAGGGGTGGCGGCCAGGGTGGTTCTACGTGTCTGCTAATGGGGGACTGGGGGTGCGCACCATCTGGAAGGTGCCCATTAGGTCGATGGAGTCAAGACTGGGGGCAGCGGCGGAAGAGAGAGGGTGAAGAGGGTGAAGGAGTGGAGGGAGAGAGAGAAGACCAAATGGAACGAGCTTGTTCAATCGTCCGCATTGTTTGAGGCAGGACTGGGACCGCAGCCGAGGAGTGGGGACCTCGACTGAGCAGAATTGGAGGCGAGAAGAGAAGCTCAGGAGGTAGAGGATCAGGCCATACTGGCCAAAGCCACGAAGTTGAAGGAAGCGCGAGGAGACCGACCGCCTCAACCGATCGCGCGGGA